CGACCATATAGTGGTGGCGATAGAAGAGGGGAAAGACTTGTCGAAATTGACAAAGGAAGAGCTTTAAGGGACACTTGAATCTCATGAATAAAGAATGAATGAAAGAGCTGCAGGAAAATCGAAGAGTGATGTGGCCTTGCAGGAACATTCAACAAAAGAAACCAAAGGCAAAGGAAAGTGTTTCGACAGAGGTAGAGGTGGCTACAACAAATAGAATGGTAGAGGAAACCAGATCAAAGGAAACATATCGAATCAAAGAAGGCCATACCAAGGCAACCAAAGAGGTGGTGTTGCAAATAGAGGAAGAGGTGGTGGTCGAAAACCTGATAAGAGTCACATTCAATGTTACAATTGTCAGAAGTATGGTCACTATTCGAGTGATTGTCCAGAAAAATGAAAGAATCGAGAAAGTGATGCAAAGCTTGCAAAACATGAAGAAGAAGAAGAAGAAGAAGAGATGATGTTGATGGTCACAACAAAAGATGAAGATAGATTCAAGGACCAATGGTACTTGGATTCAGGATGTTCATCACATATGTCTGGAAGGAAAGACTGGTTTGTCAATATAAAGCCCTCAATGAAAAATATGGTAAAATTTACAAATGACAATACCCTAGCAACTGAAAGTATTGGTGATGTTATGATTATGAGGAAGATGGCAAGAGGTCGGTAATTTCTAATGTGTTGTACATACCAGGCATGAAGAGAAATTTGCTCAGTATAGGGCAGTTAGTTGAAAAGAATTATAAAGTGTCAATCGAAGATAAGATGATGAGAGTCGTTGATGCAAATAGGAGATTAATCTTGAAGGCTCCTATGTCTCAAAATCGAACCTTCAAGATTGAACTTAATGTGATGGAGCACAAGTGCCTTTCGACCGCAGCTAGCAGAGATGAATGGATATGGCATTATAGAATAGGCCATCTCAACTTTAGAGACATCAGAGATTTGAAGAGAATAAATATGGTTTCAGGATTGCCAGAAATCGACATTCCAAACGAGGTATGTGAGGAATGTGTGCAGGCGAAGCAACACAAGAATAGCTTCAGCAAGGATGCAGGAAGCAGGTCGAAGGCTAGTCTTGAAGTCATATACTCTGATGTATGTGGACCAATATAGGTGGATTCGATGAGAGGTAACATATACTTTATTACATTCATAGATGATTTCAGTCGAAAGTTGTGGACTTATCTGATCAAGAAGAAAAGTGAAGTGATTGAAGTATTTGCCAAGTTTAAGTCTATGGTCGAAAGACAGAGTGGTCGAAAGCTCAAAGTTTTGAGAACTGATGGTGGTGGAGAATATGTGTTGAAAGACTTCGACAGACTATGTGAGAAGGAAGGGATTGTGTATGAGGTAATGTCACCCTATACTCCACAACAAAATGGAATTGCAGAAAGGAAGAATTAAACCATCATGAATATGGTGAGAAGTATGTTGAAAGGCAATAATTTACCTAAAGAGTTTTTGGGTGAAGCTGTTTCGACTGCAACATACATTTTGAACAGATGTCCTACAAAGAAGCTAGAAGGAATTACTCCAGAAGAATGTTGGTCTGGTGTGAAGCCTAGCTTGAGTCATCTGAAGGTATTTGGATCTATTGCACATAGACATGTGCCAGATCATTTGAGAAGAAAACTCGATGACAAGTTAAGTCAAATGATTCTAGTTGGATATCATTCGACAGGAGGCTACAAGTTGTTTGATCTAGAGAACAAGAAGATTGTGATCAGTAGGGACGTGATCATAAATGAGTTTAAAGAATGGGATTGGACTGAAAATGTCAAGATAGATTCAGTGGGAATCCTATTCGAAGAGCCATAAACTCAAGTCAAAAGAGAAGTTCGACAAGAGGAACGGACAAATATACCAAGTACAAGCAGACCTCAAAGAACAAGACGCATGCCTGCAAGATTGCAAGATTGTGTGATTACATCAGATGATGTGATAGATGATGAAGGTGAGCTGGTACATTATGCTTTCTATGCAGATGTCGAACCCGTTAATGCAGCTGAAGCATTGAAGGATTTGAAGTGGGTGAAAGCAATGAACAAAGAAGTGAAGTCTATCAAAGACAACAACACTTGGTCACTTGTCGAATTGCCTCAAGGCAAGAAGGAAATTAATGTCAAGTGGGTATACAAAGTGAAAACGAATTCGAAAGGTGAATTAACTCGACATAAAACAAGGCTTGTGGCGAAAGGATTTCTACAGAAATAAGGAATAGACTTCGATGAAGTTTTTGCACCTGTTGCTAGGATTGAAATAATCAAGTTGGTTGTTGGTCTAGCAGAAATAAACATTGGCACATATGTCAGATGGACGTGAAGTGTGCATTCCTAAATGGACCCTTAGATGAAGAAGTCTATGTTAAACAACCAGTTGGGTTTGTGAATCATGATGAAGAAAGAAAGGTGTACATGCTGCATAAAGCCTTGTATGGATTGAAACAAGCTCCAAGATCTTGGAATAAGAAAATTGATAGTTTCCTAAGGGAGAAGGAATTTGTAAAATACACAACTGAACATGAAGTATATGTAAGAAGAAGCAATAGTGAATTGCTTATACTATGTCTCTATGTAGATGATTTGTTGATAACAGGTAGCTGTAAAAGTGAGATTGAAGACTTCAAAGGTGATCTCAGTAAGGAATTCAAAATGTCTGATTTGGGCGAGATTTCATATTTCCTTGGAATCGAATTCTACAAGAGCAGTAGAGGTTTGATGATGCATCAAAGAAGATATGCAGGAGAAATTCTCAAGATATTTGAGATGGAAGAATGCAACCCAACTTCGACACCTGCAGAACCAAGACTGCAACTGTCGAAAGATGCAGATGAAGATGATGTTGATCCAACCCAATACAGAAAACTTATTGGATCATTGAGATACCTTTGTCATACAAGGCCTGACTTAACATACAGTGTAGGTATGGTAAGTAGATTCATGCAGAAGCCAAAGGTATCACATATAGCAGCAGTGAAGAGGATACTAAGGTATCTCAAAGGAACTTTCGATTATGGCATTTTGTTTTCTATAGCTGATAAAGGAAAAGAATGCAAGTTAGTGGGATACAATGATTCAAGTTGGTGTAGTGATGCTGAAGATCGAAAGTCAACATCAGGATATGTGTTTATGCTAGATGGTGCACCAGTTGCTTGGAATTCAAGAAAGGAACCAATAATGGCATTATCATCATGCGAAGCAGAATACATAGCTGCTTCTCTTTGTGCACGTCAAGCAACTTGGATGGTGAACTTGGTCGAAGAGATAACAGGGAAAGATCATGGAGTAATTACCATGAAGATCGACAGCATATCAGCTATCAATCTGGCGAAGAACCCAATAGCACATGGTCGAAGTAAGCACATTGAAATGAGGTTCATTATCTTCGAGAGCAGGTAGCAGATGGGAAGATGAATTTGGAACACTGCAGAACTGAGAATCAGATTGCAGACATCATGACGAAGGGAGCGCAAGTCGAAGTATTCAGAAGACTAAGAGCCATGATGAACATAAATAGTTTAGACACAATGAATTAGGTGGTGTGTTAAATTGTTATTCAGTGTGTCGAAACTATGTGTCGAAAATATTTGATTTGTTTTAGATTTAAATAGATTTGATTTAAGTCTAGAATAAATTAGATTTGATTTAGTAACAAAAAGATATTTTGGGCTTTGAGCTTATGGTGTAAGCTCAATTATAAATAGAGGGAGTAACTCCTATTTTTGTAAGCAAGTCAAGCAAGCTATTCACTGTATTTTGCAGTTGCTTGTCTTGTCTTCTTTTTTTTGTTTGTCTCATAATTAAATTGTCATTGTGGTAGAAATTCATCATAGACTTTGGTGGATTTTCAACAAGAACACGTCTCAGTGTCAATAATTATTTAAATAGTCACCTTATAAATATGAAATACGAAGAAAAAAAAACATAAGTTTTTAGTGTCACTTAACTTTGACCGATTGTAACGTACACATTATCTTAATGAATTTCTATGAACTTGAAAATATTACTTCATCTTATCTCATGAATTAAATCCGACTTACGATTTTTCACACTTATTTATATATAAAAATGAAAATAAAAATATTTTTAAAGTTAAAAATGAGATAAATCGTTTGTTAATATAAAAGACCAATAATGAATTTATTCATTTTTGTGGAAAACATAAAATTAACTCCACCTTATTTGTCCTATTGATTGCCACCTTATCTAAGCAAAAAATGCTTAAAAAATTGAAAGAAAATGTTGTTTGTTTTATGTTCCTCTGTGTCATAATTTTCTTTAGTTTGTCCAATAACAAGGCACCTCAATTTTTTCAACCAAAGGGTATAGTCAGCAAGTGAGGAAGCACTTTCACTTTCACAAGTCTTCGCGGTTCTCTTTTCCAAGTCTTCTCTCATTCTTGGAATTTTTTGCCTTTCCTTCTTTGACCCGTTCCATTTTCCATTTCACATTTCCTTTTTCTGTTTCTTTGTTCACAACAAATCTACCACAAATATCATCTTGAGGTAACCTCCTTGTTCCCTTCTCATCTCAAAGTTTCAAACTTTATATTTATTTGTGTATTTTCTTTTTGAATTTCCTTCTGGGTAGACAAAATTTTCATGTAAGCTTCATTGGGTTGTTCAAAACCCAGGTGGGTATTTTAGTATTTTTGTGAAAAATTGAAATTTTATGTTTTTTCATTCATATATCTTAATTTTACTTTAATGGGTTCCTCATGTTTTTGATGTTTTAGTTTCCTTTATGTCATGGTTGTATTAGTGATGTTCTAAATTAAGGTTTTTTTATGGGACTGTTTTTATTGACTTGCTCTATTTTTTATGGTTGACTAATTGACCTGGTTTGTGTGATGTTCTGAACTGTGTTTCTGTCATTTTGATTTTTTTTTCTTTTTCAGGGTGTGTTCTTAGGTGGATTGTTGTTAGTGCTATGGATACTAATGAACGAGGTTTCTGAATTAGTACTTTTTGGTTTGTGTTTAGGATTTTGGTGAAGATGATGGTTCTTCTAAGTAGCTGGATTTTCAGTTATCATGTTTTTGTTAGTTTCTTGTTGCTGATTAGTTCTGGCATAACCTATGGGACTGAAACTGATATCTTCTGTTTGAAATCGATAAAAAAGTCGATCCAAGATCCGAATAATTATTTGAGATCTTCGTGGAATTTCAACAATAAAACTGAAGGGTTTATCTGTAGATTTAATGGTGTTGAATGTTGGCATCCTGACGAGAATAGGGTCTTGAATCTTAAGTTATCGAATATGGGACTCAAGGGTCAGTTTCCACGCGGCATTGTTAATTGTTCGAGTTTAACAGGATTGGATCTTTCGATTAATGATCTCTCTGGAACCATTCCAGTTGATATATCTTCACTTCTAAACTACGTGACGACTCTGGATCTATCTTCAAATGAATTTTCTGGAGAGATACCTCTTAGTCTTGCAAATTGTACTTATCTGAATACCCTTAAACTTGATCAGAATCAACTTACTGGTCAAATTCCTCTACAGTTAGGCACTCTCACGCGTCTTAAGACGTTTGATGTATCCGACAATTCATTGACCGGGCAAGTTCCAACTTTCACTGACGGTAAAGTTGATGCAAATTATGCAAATAATCCAGGTCTTTGTGGATCTCTTTTATTGGGTGCTTGCAAGGCCAAGGATTCCTCCAAGAGTAACACTGCAGTTATAGCGGGAGCTGCTGTTGGTGCGGTGACTCTTGCAGCGTTAGGATTGGGCGTTGTAATGTTCTTCTTTGTGCGTCGCGGTTCTTATAGAAGAAAGGAAGAAGATCCTGAAGGAAACAAATGGGCAAGAAGTATTAAAGGAACTAAAGGAATTAAGGTAAGTTATATACTTGTTTTAATTACTTTCAATAGAAACTCGTTTATCGGAAAAAAATTCCATTTTTTAAATACATGCAATGCAACCGTTACTAACAATACTGAACTGAAAATCAGGTGTCTCTATTTGAGAAATCGATTTCGAAAATGAAATTGAGTGATCTCATGAAGGCTACTAACAACTTCAGTAATAGCAATATCATTGGGACGGGAAGAACCGGAACCGTTTACAAAGCTACTCTTGAAGACGGCACAGCATTTATGGTGAAAAGATTGCAGGAATCTCAACACTCCGAGAAAGAATTTATGTCTGAGATGGCGACACTTGGGATTGTCAAACATCGTAATCTGGTTCCTCTTTTAGGTTTTTGTATGGCCAAAAAGGAGAGGCTTTTGGTCTATAAAAACATGCCAAATGGAATGCTTCATGATCAACTACATCCTGCTGCTGGTGATTGCACCCTCGACTGGTCTTTGAGACTCAAAATCGCAATCGGAGCAGCCAAAGGATTAGCATGGCTTCATCATAGCTGCAACCCTCGGATCATCCACAGAAACATAAGCTCTAAGTGCATCTTGTTGGACGCTGAATTCGAGCCCAAAATTTCCGATTTCGGCCTTGCCAGATTGATGAACCCACTCGATACACATTTGAGTACTTTTGTAAACGGCGAATTCGGTGATTTTGGCTACGTGGCTCCCGAGTATACAAAAACTTTAGTCGCCACACCTAAAGGCGACGTATTTAGCTTTGGGACCGTGCTTCTCGAGTTGGTAACTGGCGAAAGGCCTGCAAGTGTGGCTAAAGCGCCAGAAACTTTTAAAGGAAATCTGGTAGAATGGATTGCCGAGCTTACAACAAACTCCAAACTCCACGATGCCATTGACGAATCACTAGTTAACAAAGGCGATGATAACGAGCTTTTCCAATTTCTAAAGGTTGCATGCAACTGTGTTTCAGAAACTCCAAAGGAGAGGCCAACCATGTTTGAAGTGTATCAATTCTTAAGAGCTATTGGTAGTAAGTACAATTTCACAACTGAAGATGAAATATTGATACCTGAAGATATTGGTATTGATAACATGGATGAACTTATTGTTGCTAGAGAAAGAAATAATTGAAAAAAAAGGTATGCTAGATATATTTATGTAGTGTTTGTGTAATCTGTTTCTATATATGTAATTATCTATTTCTTACTTTGTTGTCCCAAAATAAATGTTAGCTTTTTATATAGTTTTTGAGGATATAAAATCATCAATCATGGATTTATATATAGTTGAGATGTTTCTTTCTATCCTTGTTTTTATATCATTTACTTGTTCTTCTGCTAATATCTGTTGTTAATTTATCTCAAATTTTCAAACTTTATATTCATTTCTATGTGTGTTTCATGTGAACTTCATTTGGTTGTTCAGAAGTCAGAACAGGAATGTTTGTTCAAATTAGCAAACTCTTCCTAAAACATGTGGATCATAAAGAGGCACAACATATCCTAATACTTTTTTTTTTCTTTCTTATTTTATTGATTAAATGTAAACATATGATTCTAAAATTTGTTGTTTTTTTTGGAATAATATAACAAGTGTGAGTAAGTGGGGAAATAGTCTCACATTTGATAGGAATGTAGAGACTTAAGCATATATAAGTGAGAGAACCCACTCATCTATCACCTTAAGGTTTTAGGTGGAGAAGTGGCATGTCTCTCGCTTTGGAGTTTCTAACCACCCTAAATTTGACACTCATTGTTTTTCTGAGGACCGTTTACACTTGTAAATTTGATTGCAATTACGACTCACATGAAGATAACTGAGTTAAAGCTTATGGTAAATTTTCATATGTTTTAGGAAGGAATTGGAGTAGGTAAAACATTTGCAGCACTTAAGAGTTACGAAGTGGATTAAAACTTTGTAATCTTGGAAATAATATGCTTTCTTGGAATAATATGCTTTTTATTTACATATCGCATCTATTTCTTATCAATTTTTAAACTCCAATAGAACCAGGATGATGAATATCCAATTAACATGTTCAAAGCGTTTGTTAACAAGTTCATTACCTGCCATTTTTTTGTGGATTGACATATTGTCTTTGATTGTGGATTAACAATGTCTTTGATTATTTATTGATTTTTTCATTAATGCTCAAATTCTTTCTTGATTTGTAGTACATGCTAACTGTTTGATGAAATGATTGTGAGAGGAATATATGAGAAGAAGAGGAGGAGCATTGATTAATATGAAGAAAACATATAAATTTATGGAGGTTTAAAACTCCGGCAATCTAAAGTATTTTTTTAAGTGTAAGAGAAAAATACACATTTGGTCTACCACATAAGTCTTCGTTAGTGAAAATTAATGGAAGAATCAATTTTAAGGACGGAAAAGTTTGCAAGGATAATTGTTTGAAAAAAAAATTTAAAGAGACTAAAATTTAATTGTTATATATTTATAAGGATTCCTAACATATTTAATCTTTATTTTTTTAAAAATAAAAATAATTTATTAAATAAAAAAAGAAAAACAAAAATGACGAGGGGATGTAAATTCTAACTCGTAAAAAAATTAGTAAAAATAATAGTTGAACATGTCAAGTCTATTTTTCAAAAAACTTTTAAAACTATAAATAAAAAGTGAATTCTACCAAATAATAAAAAACAAGAGTTTATCGAAAGAAATATGAAAATCTAATTTAAACCGATTCATATATTTTTGCCCAAAAAGACTTTATGTTGCAACTTAATTGATTGGTAGGTGAAAAGCTTTTTCATAAACTAGTCCAAAATAGACATTTCTAATGGTGTTTTATAGATTGTTCTACATGTCTATAGAAAATCATCAAGGTGTCTGAACCAATCCTTTCCAGAAGGATTTACCATTTTATTTTTAAGATTCTCTTAATTTCTCTATTAGATAATTCAACTTATGCACTATTTTGTAGATAGTAGAGTGTGACAACCTTATATTTGACACGACATTTGAGCACTGCTTTATTATATTTCAAGTTCTGCATAAATAAAGTTTATAATTACTTATTGTTATAACAATATTTTTTATAACGTGCAAATAATTTGTTTTAAATTGCATCTAAAAAGCTTCAGTTTTGATCTCATTAAATATTTTAGTTGAACCAATTATAAATAAACATTAATATAAAGTCATAGTGTGAATTTTTATATCGCTTATCTACATCGATATATATATCATTAAATATATTGATGCTATAATTGTCGAAAATCCATCACATTATATATTGGTGACTATATCCGCGATAATTCTATTATTAATATATAAAGTTAGATTATAAATGAGAAATTCAGATAAATAGTATTTAGTACGAACTTAGAGAATATTGCCCAAGTAAATTTTTTTTGAAATACTTTATTTAATAAAATATTCAATAATATTACGTGAACATGGATAAGAAGTATTAATTGATTTTCTCTATCATAATAAATAACTAGATGATTTAAATAAACTTATTTATTCACTTTCTCTCTCATTATATAATTCTTTAAACTAGCTATGAAAAAAAGAAGAAAAAAAATTTTTTGAATTAAAAAGTTGCCAGAATTGAAAATGAAATATGATGAGCATCCCGACATTGTATTAAGCAGCATTAAATGAATGTAGAAAGTAATAATTTACTAACTGCTCAATTATTATTTATTATGATTTAAAAATTTTAAATTTTTTGTTGTCTTAAATAAAATTTTCAAAATCTTTCAATAGCCTCTCTTTCTAGTGGACCCATGTTGTAATTAAAGATTCTTATCCGATGCTCCGGGAGCGCTTGTCAGTATTTTCATTAAACTAATTATATTATCAATTTATCCATTTATCAATAGAGAGTCTTAATTGATTTAATGATCAAATTATATGATAAAGCTAATTATATTTTTATTTAAATAATTGATTATTTATTTATTTAGTTAATTGATAACTAAAATGTGAGTGAATGTCTTATGTGGAAATGAATTTTCTACAGTCAAATGATGACTGAAGGCAGATTCTAACCATTCATTTTAATTATTAAATTATTATATTATTTATTTATTAATGAGATATCACTTATATATACAGGCTATGCTCCCTAATACATCAGTAAGATAAGTGATTTATTATTTATCTCATTCGAAGAGTATGGGGGATATCAGGAGTACCTGATGATAAAAAAGCACAAGTCAATGATTATCTATTACTCGTCTTCGTCTCTCTATCTATTTCATGATTAATACATGAAATTATTTGCTAAGGATATTTTTTAATGTCTTAATGTTGCAGTTCCTTTAAGAAGAAGCAAATATTCATTCTAGTAGAGTGATATACATTCAGCTAGTTCGTGTTCGAGGGAGGATCGAAACTGGATCAACATGTCTATATTGCAAGCTAGGAAATGGGGAAAATGTTGGATTTTAGAAGCAACATTGGTTAGGTCCAGTGCCCTTAAAAATCCAATTTTTTAATCTTTTCTTGGTCTGTTTTCTACCAAATAGCAAAGTCGTTGACATGGATAATTAGTTTGAATTTTTGTGTACATGGAACATTGATTTGAACAAGAAGTAGCTCAATGAAGAGGAAATGAAGCAACCTGAATGAATGTTGGACATTATGCAATTAATTAATCCAAATCCCACAATCAAAGATAAGTATGTCTAGCGGAAGAGTGCCTACAGTTTTTCTGTCAAAAGTAGCTATGTGAGAGTGACTGATTAATACAACTCTGAAAGTCATGTTTATCCTATCCATTTAAAAAGTTTATATACCTTATCAAACTTAAAAGTTTCAATAAAAATTCATCTATTTGAACGAATATTACTTATGAACAAGTTGCCAACAAGATTTGATCTAGCAAGGAGATAAGTACTTCATGGTAATCACAACATATTATGCCCTTTGTGTCTTGCAGCTGAAGAAGATTTGATCCATTTGTTTATTATCTATTCACATAGTTTACAGGTTTGGAGGAGGGTAAGTGCTTTGTTAGGATAAAACTATTAGAAGATCAATCATCTTTGGTAGTTCATCAAAGGCAATATTCTGCAAGCAGTTAAAAGAAAATCCAAGGAGGATCGCAATTGTTTCGTTTGGATTGCGGTTTATTGGACTATCTGGGTTGTTAGGGAAAATATTTTGTTCAAATGTGGCTTTTTGGGTGAGTTGGACTTAGTTGGTCACATTAAATACTTGACTTGGGAGTGGTTCCTAGTTAGGGTGAAGATATGCTAGGCCGAGTTAGGCTATGACAAGCTTGAGCCTAGCCTAGCCTGCTAAAAAAGTTTAAAGCCTAAGTCTGACCTGTAGCCTATCAAAAGCTTATTTTTAGGTCTGAGTCCAGCCTTTTCGAAAGCTTGATTGACCTACTAGCCTACTTAAAAGCCTACTTCATTTGAATATTTATAAATAAGATTTTTAACTAATATTAAATAGACTAACAAATTAAAAGATCAATATGACTAAATATTTGTTTTCATTGTCTCATTCTAGTTTACCTATTAACATACGTTTTGTGATACTATTTATTTTAGAGAACTTATAAAAATAACTTATTACAATAACTTACGACATTATTCATAAGGTTTTCTTTTTCAACTTATATTCATAGGTTTTTCAAAATAACTAAGTTTTATTTTCGTATTTTAATTAAAAATATAAAACATAATATAATAATAATAATAAACTTATTCATGATTATTAAATAGGTTGACCTGAAAAGCTTAAAATATTTTTATTTATGGATTGTAACCTACTTTTTTTAACTAAATAAACTTATAAAAAAGCTTAAGTCTTTTCTATTTTAAAAAAGAAGTCTGATCTGGTCTAGACCATAGATCCCTATTAGTTGGCCTGAACTATTCTCACACTAATTCCTAGTCAAGGTTAAGGGTCAAGTGGATTTTTAATGGCTGGATTGAAAATCAAACCCTGATTTATCTTTTTCTTGTCTATGTTTTGTGTCTTTTTCGTTTGTTTGTTTTATTTGTAATCCAGGTTAAATTCCCCCTGTGCTCCTGTTTAATTCAATTCTCTTTTCTTATAAAAAAACTATCATGAAATTTACATGGCAAACCTGGTTTAATGGTTGCAAATTTTTTTATTGGCTGACTTTTATTCCGTTATTAATT